ATATATATATATATATATAGAGAGAGAGAGAGAGAGAGAGAGAGAGAGAGCTGTTGACTTCAGTCACTTGCAGCTCCGTCGTAACTTCTGAAACCTGCATTGCTCCTATTCCTTTGAGACAAAACTGTGCCCTTGAATGTTAATTTAAAAATCCTGCAGGCTGGCAGTTCCAATTACCTTATGCTTTATTCCGTGCATGTAACAAATTCTTTATTTTTCACATGAAGAGGTTTATAATTCTTATCAATAGAAAACCAGGTTCTTTTAAAACTTTTCTTTATTGGTACATTTTAGATATATATGTTGATAACATTCATCATAGGAAATTTGGACCTGTGCATGATATATCTTGTGTCTTAGTTACTTTTCTCATTGCTGAGACAAAATATCTGACACCCAAAGTTAGAGGGAAAGGTTTATTTAGCTTATAGTTTGTAGAGGTTTCAGTCCATAATCTGCTGGCTCCAAGGCAGAGTGGCACATGGCAGAGGGGCAACAGTTCATGGCTGTGGAAGACAGCAAAAGCAGAAACAGAGGGAGCGGGAGGGGGAGAGAGAGACAGAGAGAGACAGAGAGAGAGAAGACAAGCCTCTTTCCGTTCTTTATATTGTATGCAAGCTACCGACCCTAGGCTGGGTGTAGCACTCTCACCCTTAATCCCAGCCAGAACTATGCCAAACCAATCAGTGGACTGATTTACTAATCACACACCCTGAATCTCAGCATCACACACTCTGGCTGACTTCAAAATCATGGTGATCCAGATGTGGTGGACCATGCCTATAGTCCCAGCACTTGGGAGGCTGAGGCCTTGAGTTCCAGGCCAGCCTGAGCTATATATAGCCAGACCTTGTCTCAACCCCTCCTCAAACCAATCCCCCCAACCAAAAAAAAGCCCTGGCGATCCTCCTGCCTCAGCCTCCTGAATGCAGAGATTACAGGTGTGCGCCACCATGCCTGGTTTCTTTTGGTTTAGGTAGAAGTCCTAAAGGTAAAAGAACTGCTCCTGTCTTACGGCCACCGTTTCTCCTGAATGTTCTCAAAGTCAGGGCCTTCCATATTCCATCCCGGGTTGTTGCACACTTCCTTTGTATTTTGAACAGGCCTCTAAGTTTGGTGTTCAGAAACACAGTTTCTGATGACTGTGCCCTAACGTCATGTCTAAACTTAAGTCACTGATATGAGGATCCACTACCTTTGCATCAAGCCTGTTCTTGGCTGTGGGACCTAAACAAATTTTCTGTGCTTCCATTTCCTCGTGGGAAATAACAATAACATTACTTCCTGCTGTATAGGTCCTGCTGTATAGGTCCGTGTTGGTGAACAGGTAAGATAACGTACTCCAAAGCGCTTAAGAGCGCACAGTAGGCACGCATGCGTACTTCCGGGAGACTCACGGTGTCCTCTTCCTGGGCTCCGCCAGTCTTCCACGAGGCCCAGCCCAGGTTCGGGTAACTAAGGAGTCTTAAGGCAGATCCCTGGACCTCAGACACTTTGGCGACCTCAACGTAGGGATATAATTGCTAAAACCCGTCCCCTAGGGCTTTCTTCCCCGCGCAACTGTTAGTTTAGCTTCGCCCTTTGCTCCCTAGAGGTTGAGCTTCTGCGCTGCCTGACGCCTACGAGGTTGCCTAGCGACACGCTTTTCCCAGGATGCCCAGGGTGTTGTGTTTTTCTTAGCCAATCAGAGACGCAGGGCGGCTTCGCAGGCGGCCAATGGATCGCCAGGATAGAGCCCGCGGCGGTTAAACGTGGCTGAGGCCGGGGCAGTGCGGCGCTGTGCGGCGGCCGAGCGAGGGCGGCTGCGGCTCCGTGCGTGCGGCGCGGCCCCGCCATGCCTTCCCGAGTGGAGGACTACGAAGTGCTGTACACCATCGGCACGGGCTCGTACGGCCGCTGCCAGAAGATCCGGAGGAGGAGCGACGGCAAGGTGAGCGCGGCCCCGCCCCGGTCCCCGCCCGCGCCGAGGCGGCCTCAGCCGGATCCAGCGCCCTGGGCCTGCGAGGGCACCCCAGGCCGGTGGCGTGGGCGCCCGAAGTCGCAGGCGTCCCCGCTTGGTCGGCGTCCGGCATGTATTTGTTTCTCTCCCGTTTGCTCCATCGCCCCCGCGTGTATTGCTCAGGTGACAGCTGGTGACAGATCGCAGGCCCCGGAGCTGTCGTTAGAGAACGCCGAGCAGCCCCGAGAGCAGGGGCCGGCGACGCCTGACCCCCGGGTGCGGAAGGAGCCGTGGAGAGGGAGCTGCAGGCTGCTGGCGAGGTCTTGCCTGAGCTCCCGCCCCCGGGCGCCGCGCGGGACTTTGAGCGGCTCTCCCTGGGCTTTGGCTAAACTGCCCTTTCGCCGCTTTCCCGTAAAGCGGCAGAGTAGGAGCTAGGGAGGTCCGCTGTGCCGCACCCCTCTTCCCCCGCTTGAAACTTGGAGGAGGGGTGAGGCGGTCAACTCGGGCTCTTTGCGCTTATTGAACTAAGTCACCAGGTCGTGACCTCGCTTAGTAGGGTGTATTTAAAAGGGAGGTGACTTTGTAAACTTTCCTTCTTCCTTTTTGAGCGTCCCCAGTTCATTCATACCTCGAAGTGCTCCTATTTCAGATACTGGTTTGGAAAGAACTTGACTATGGATCCATGACAGAGGCCGAAAAACAGATGCTTGTTTCTGAAGTGAATCTGCTCCGTGAATTGAAACATCCGAACATCGTCCGTTACTACGATCGAATTATTGACCGAACAAACACAACCCTGTACATCGTGATGGAATACTGTGAAGGAGGGGACCTGGCTAGTGTGATCACAAAGGGAACCAGGGAAAGGTAAAGGCAATCTTTTATTTAATTTAATTAATTACTTAATATTTATTTATTTATTGAGACAAGGTCTCCCTGTGTAGTTTAGGCTGGACTTAAACTCATTATGTAGCCCGGGCGGGCATCAAACTCGAAGCGATCCTCCTGCCTCAGCCTTCTGAGTGTTGGGATTACAGGTAGGCAGGCAGTCTTTTAAATGTAAGCTGAAAATGGCTGTCCTGTTGGTCCTGATAAGCGTCTTGTGTCACGATCAGGGATGAATTCTCAGTGACTGGAAGTGTGTGCTTGCATTTGTTCAGTGGGTCAGTAGCATTTAGAAAAATCACTGGTAAGTCAGTACCCAGATTTCGTATCAATATAATTTATTTCTCTATTTGAGCACTTCTGAAAGCTACGTAATTCACCTCTCCCACATTCCCAGTGATTTTACTTGGAAGTTTTATGCCGTGCAACTGCTCTGGTTTCAGACAATACTTAGAGGAAGAGTTCGTTCTTCGAGTGATGACGCAGCTGACCCTGGCCCTGAAAGAATGTCACAGGCGAAGTGATGGCGGTCACACGGTGCTTCATCGAGATCTGAAACCAGCCAACGTTTTCTTGGACGGCAAGCATAATGTCAAGCTCGGAGACTTCGGGCTAGCGAGAATATTAAACCAGGACACGAGCTTTGCAAAAACATTTGTGGGCACACCGTACTACATGTCTCCAGTAAGTGTCTCAGAATTTAGGTACTTCACAGCCTTTTAATGCGAAGCATTCCAATGCAAGGAAATTGAATTTTTTTGGCTTGTTGGTTAGTAAATGCAGTAGTCAAGAAGTAAGAGTACTGTTTCATTTTAAGTTTGTACTTTCCAAGTGGGCCACTGATCATTAAATTCCTCGGTGTCACTAACTCAGCTCAAGCTTTTGTTGACTGACTACCATGTAGTAAACTCTGGAATTACAGAGATAAAATGGCTTTTGCCTGTGCTTCAGTTGCAGCAGTTTCCCAAGTCTGCCTTAGACACACCAGTATCACACTCACTTGGAGTGTCTGTTTAACCACTTAACAGTTTACCTTGAGTGTTGCTTGGGCTGGTGTCATTTCAATCAGTAGATTCTTATATTAAATAAATTTGATAACATTGTTTATATTTCCTGTTATATTATAAAAATTAATGAAAAAATATGAAATTTTTGGTCATCCTGTATTTAAATAATTGGACTGGTAAGCGGTTAAAATGCAGTCTTGTGGGGGTGGTGTGCACCCCTAGAATCCAGCACTCTTTGTAGGCTGAGGCAGGAGGAGTGCAAATTTAAACTCAGCCTGGGCTATTTGGCAACTTAGTGTATTTATTTATTGATCTTTTGAGACAGGATCTTGCTATGTAGTTTAGGCTGGCCTTGAACTTGAGAGATCCTCCTGCCTCTGTCTCCCAGGTTCTTAGGTTACAGGTGTGCACCATCACACCCATCAAATCCAGTGAATTTTAGACTCCACTTTATCCCTGCCCTCATTTTTTCTTTTTTTGGATCCTACATTTAATATTTTTTCCTCTAGACTCATGTGCTTGGAGATTGAACTCAGGAGGCTCCCTCCCCGGATGACACGTTTTTACAGTGTTAACTCTAGTACATGTTCTTTGCTTTCTGTTGCCTTTTCCTGAAATGCACCCACTCTACTTATCCACTGCCTCTATGGCTGGATATTTGTTTCTGAAATTTCTCTGTGACCTGTGGTGTATATCTGGATAGTCTTTCTTCCTCTTGGGTTATTTCCTTGGAGTATTGATCACAGAATGAAATTACTGAGGTGAAAGGTCTGATGGTCTGGCTGTTATTAGGTATCGTCTGGTGGCTTTAGAAGGAAGAATCTATAAGGGACAGACAGCACCGATGTGTTATTCCGTGACTTCTGGCAAGATATAGATTATTTTGGTTTTTGTTTGTGCGGTAGCCCTTTTAAAAACACTTTTATTTTGTGATGGTCTTGCTAAGTTGCTCAGGATGGGCTCAGACTGGGAATCCTCCTGCCTCAGCCCCCGTTCCTTGAGTGCTGGGATTACAGGCTTGTGCCACCCACCCGGTTTATTAATTTCTTTAGTAGTTCACAAACATTTCTAGGGCTTCTCACATCTTTATAAAGTATGATAACAGATTGGACTACAGTATAAAACTTTATAAATTTACAATTTATTTTTGACTAAGATTAGATATGTCCAGAGCAATGTCATTTTCTACGGTATCAAATTCCAGTTAGACAGCCTTTAACATGAAGGGAAATTATGTGTATGTGGTTCTGGGAAAATTAGAAATCTGTGCAAGGCTTTGTTCCTTTTCCCTCCTGCTCTTGTAATTAGTAAGTTCAGTTCTCCTGCGTACTGATTGTCAAGGAGCGACGTCACACGCACCTGCTGGGCTCGGAACTGCTAAGCTCACTCCCCGGGGGTTTGGTACTTGCCGGCCCTCCGTGAAGAATAAGTGCTCTGGTACCGAGTTACTGCAGGTGTGGGAAAAGGCAAACAGTTCACACAGGTAGTGAGCATACCAGCTACTGCCAAGGTTTATACAGTAGACTGAAAAGTAGACACGCATAATTCAACTAGGCGTTTCTGTTTGTATCCATTTATATGTGGGCTGGATACATATTTTGGTTATTCTGGCGTTTTCTCTTGTCCCTTTAAAATAGTTTTTATGAACTGGATGTGATAACACATGCCTGTAACCCCAACACTTGGGAGGCAGAGGCAGGAGGATTGATGCCAGTTCAAGGCTGGCTTGAACTACATAGTGAGACTGTCTCAAAAACAAAAGTTTTTAGTTGAATTTGGTGGCATGCTCTTGTAGTCCTAGCTACTCAGGAGGCTGAGGCAAGAAGATTACTTGGGCCCAGGAGTTTGAGGTCAGTTTGGGCAACCTAGCGGAATAAAATATCTAATAAAACGAAATGGAGTTTCTAGATTATGAATGTCCTGAGGGTAGAGCTCTCTCATATTTACATCTGAATTGTCAGTATCTAGCCTGCATTCAACATTTTCATTTGTGAATGAAAAATAAGGGGATGAGTTTATGTATGATAAGTATATTGAAATGAAACCATGGCCTTTTTCCAATTGTATTTACATGTATGTGTGTATTTTTTCTTCAGCACTAGGCATTGACCCCAGGCCCCTCACACATGCTGGGCAAGCGCTGTACCACTGAGTCACATCCTTACCTGTCCATAAAAATTTGAAGATAAAAGTAAACTACCATCTCTTGTTATTGTGGTATAAACAGAATTAGCCTTTTGTGTTTGAAATTTTTGTTATGGATATAAAATATTTAGATTTGTTACAAATTTTTTCCCTCTTTTTCTTGAGTAAACATTACTAAACTTTGAGATTCCATTTTTATCTTAGGTATAATTTTTTCTAATGCTTTATAAGTTTAAAATAAACTTAACTCCTACTTTCTCACCTTTCCCCCATCTAGGAACAAATGAATCGCCTGTCCTACAATGAGAAATCCGACATCTGGTCCCTGGGTTGTTTGCTGTATGAACTGTGTGCGCTGATGTAAGTAAGACTGTGACTGGCCACTTGGGTCCTTCTGCTCGCCGCTGACCAAACCAAAGGAGGCCGTTTATTTTTGGTGAAAAGGAAAATGGAGCTGGGCATGGTGGCATACAGCTGTAATCCCAGCACTCGGGAGGCTGAGGCAGGAGGATTGCCACAAGTTTGAGGCCAGCCTAAAATACATAGTCAAACCCAGTCTTCAAAAAGAAAAAACCAATAAAAAGCAAAAAGATTTTGTTCAAAACTAGCTCTGAGGAGATGGAAGGGCCTTATTTGCCTCAAATCACATCTCTCCTGTCCAGATGTGCAAGGTCTTTTATAGTAAGAGACAAAGGGGTGGGGAATACAGGGACCAACACAACCCTAGGCTTCTTTCTCAGGCTTGGACTTCGACTCTGGGGAGCAGCGTCTCATATTCTGTGTCTTCAAAGTCTGAAAGAATTCTAAAACTTTTCAATTGAGGTAGTCGGACAGGCTGAAAAAACAAATTATTTACGAGCTAAACTCATAGCCCATGAGGCCGGGCCTGACATGTCGAAGGGTCTCTGATTCGCCCTGTTACAGTGATGCCGAGGTCAAGGGGAGAGTTCGGAGGGCACATGGGGACGGTGACGCCAGCGGAAGGACAGGGGCCCGAGCAGGAACGAGCCCTGGTTCTTCCCCTTTTGTCTTCCACCGCGCCCCTTCCTGTTCTGTAGCAAGGTGGCTTCCCCGGGACTGGGAGGAAGCAGTGTCCGGAGACCCTGATCGTTGTCACAGGAGAAGCCGCTGGCCCCTCAGTGCCCCGGGAGCTCAGCCTCGAGCCGGACTTGGCCAAGAGGCAGCAGGGCCAGGAAACTGTGAAACGTAGCTACGGAGGAACATTCCAGAAGGGGAAGCATAAACTGAAACTGGGGCTTCAGGCTCAGGTCCTCCTGTATATGTTCGTTTTTACATGTTAAAAATTCTTTGTTTCTTTCCCCCCAGGCCTCCCTTTACAGCTTTCAACCAAAAAGAACTTGCTGGGAAGATCAGGGAAGGCAAATTCCGGCGGATCCCTTACCGCTTCTCTGACGAGCTGAATGACCTTATTACGAGGATGTTAAATTTAAAGGTACAGGGCATGAGATCCTCTGCCGTCTGTTCCTCTCAGTTCTGTCTTGGAGTATGTGCAGTATTCTGTCTCCTAGAGCAGTAGAGACTGAACAGTCATGAGCTCTGTTTCCTTAGCTAAAGTACTCTGTTAACATGGAGAAAGTGGCACGTCCTGCCGCCCCACCTTCTGTCCCTTGTTTATGTCCCCTCCACTCCCTGCCGTCCTCACAGATGGCTGTGGTCAGGCACCCAAGCCTCCCTTCCCTTTGTGCCTCGGGTGGCAGGTGGCGAGGGAGGGGCTGAAAAGAAGACCTAATTACCCTGCCTTTAGCTCCAACTGGAGACCAGAGGGAGGAGCAGAAAGAGGGAAAATCAGTGGCACATATTTGTAACCCCAGCATTCTGGGAAGCTGAGGCAGGAGGATCACAAATTTGAACGCAGCCTGGGCAACTAGGTCTCTTCACATTAAAAGAGACCCTGTCTCAAAATAAAATCAAGAAAGGGCTGGGGTGAGGACCAGTGAGCTTATTTTTGCAGATATCCATGGCCTCTGTGGAGGAGTCCTTCCTCTGCCCTGGAAATCCTTGCCCTTTAGAGTGACTGTCCCTTAGGATGGACATTTTCTGTTTTGTGCCGTTTCCCAGGACTACCATCGGCCTTCCGTCGAGGAAATCCTTGAGAACCCTCTGATAGCAGACTTGGTTGCAGAGGAGCAGAGAGGACAGCTTGAGCGGCGTGGGCGCAGAGTGGCAGGCGTGGAAGAGCCCGAGAAGCCGGGGGACCCCAGCCCCGTGCTGAGCGAGCTGCGGCTGAAGGAGCTGCAGCTGCAGGAGCGAGAGCGGGCCCTCAAGGCGCGGGAGGAGACGCTGGAGCGTGAGTCCTGGGTCACTTGTGTGTGCAGGTCCTCCTTCGAGCTTCTTCAGTTTTGGTTTTTTGAGACAGTGTCTCTCAGTGCAGTTCAGGCTGGCCTTAAACTTGCAGCGATCCTCCTGCCTCAGCCTCCTGAGTGCTGGGATTACAGGTGTGCACCACGGTGCCTGGCCTAGAATCTTCTGGTAAACACTCGCCAAACCAAAACATGGTAGACAGGCTTGCTGGCAACTTCACATTAGAATTCCTTCTTGGGCATGAAGTGTGGTGGCCCCGACACAGCAGCCGTGACTATTGCACAGCGTCTCGTTCCTTTCCCAGCGGGACTGTAACTTGTTGCCAGTTCACAGGAAGGTGTTAAACATGTGCTTCCTCCCTCCCAGCATAAAAGCCAGGGCTTCGCTCCTGAAAGGCTGCAGCCTGGTGCCAGGTCTGAGTCGGTGTCCTGCGGGGTGTGCGCAGGCGGGGCCGTGGGGAGCAGGCGACGCTCTTCCAGGCTTGTGCGTAACGCCAGCGCGGAGCTGCACGTTGGCATGGTGTTGGCTCTTCATCATCGCAGTGTTCAGAGACCGGGGGGCTGAGCGGCGCGGGCGCAGAGTGGCAGTCCCACCACCCTTACGACTCCTCTGACTTCGCTTCTGTGGCCTTATGCCCGGTGTGGACGTTCACTGTTTTTCTAGAAAGCAAAAACCACAGTAGGTAAAGTTTGTCTGTTTGAATGAGTTTGTAAAGCACCCGGTGTGTTGGTCGAATGAAACACTGTGGCAGGGTGTGGTGCTGCAGGCCTGTAATCCCAGCACCCAGGAGGCTGAGGCAGGGAGGTCCACAGAAGTTCAAGGCCAGCCTGTGCTAGAGTGAGACCCGGTCTCAAAAAACACAAAGATAAATAAATAAATGAATGAATGAATGAACAAAGAAACCCCCGCACAGTCAGGTTGAGCAGGTGACCGCTAGGAGCCCTGACCCGCAGTCAGCATGACGGCCGACTGAGAGCGAAGGGACAGGGTCACCGTGACAGAGCACCCACTGCCCGTTCATTGTTCTCTGCAGAGAAGGAGCGCGAGCTGTGTGTGCGGGAGAGGCTGGCGGAGGACAAGCTGGCCCGCGCCGAGGGGCTGCTGAAGAGCTGCGGGCTGCTGCGGGAGCAGAGGCTGCTGTCCCTGGCCAGCACTCCAGGTACGGGGTCAGCGCGCGTCGCGGGGCTGCGCTAAGGGTCTGTGAGAAAGTGACGTCCGTGTGGCACTGTTTTTGACACAGGGTCTTGTTCTACTCAGCAGAGTCTAGGCTGGCCTTGAACGCCCAGCAGGCCTCCCACCCCAGCCTCCTGAGTGTGGGATGACAGGTGTGTGCCACCGCGCCCAGCTTCTGTGTTCTTAGAAAATTCACCTCACCCTTGTTAGGTCCCACCCACCATGCATAAAGAAGAACAGACTTACGATCAGGACAATGAGTCAGGCAGGGAAGAGCGCATTTCCGTGTGAGTTGTGTGCGTGTAGCCCCAGAGACTCCCGCAAGGCCCTGTGGCGGTACTTTTCCCACCGGAGCCCATCCCCCGCCCTGAGGCTGAGCAGAGGACCGCTGGGTCAGCCGCAGCTGTTCCGTGAGCAGCACGGGCGGCCCAGGAATCCCGCTGGAACTGTGGCCAGCGATGAAAGCGAGCCACAGGAATCCAGTCCATGTGAGAGGGCTGAGTTCTGGGGGGCTGGGCACTTCAGAGCCACAGGACAGGAGAGGAACGGGCAGCGCGACGATCTCAGGGTCGATGTCCCCTCCCCGCCTGGGGCGCCAAGCCCTGCGTCTCCGGGGGCCTTTTCAAGGGCATCCTGTGCCTGCTTGGTGAAACCTTACCCCGCCCGGGACGGGATGCTGCAAACGCTGTCACAGTGCCCGGCAGTAGGCAGTGCTGGTTCACAAGTGCCCAGGGATTCACCAGCACAGAGGTGCCTGTGCTGGAGAAGACTGCATTGGGCTGCTCTGAGGGGAGGGGAGCGAAGTGAAGCAGGCCATAAGGAGAAGCCGGCAGCCTGAGGCAGGGCCTGGGATTCTCCATGCAGACCACCCTGCTGCTCCTCACCTGCCTCCACGGGCTCGGGGCTCGCCATCTCCTTTAAACAAGCACAGAGGAGAAAGGAAAAGGCTCCGGCACTGGGACCTGCCAGGCTCCTTCCACGGGACAGGGGCAGTTCACACTTCTCACCTGACTCGCCCTCCCACACAGCATTGCATAGGCTCTGCTTAAAGTAGGTTTCCGGTGTTACGAGCAAGGGACTAAGTAGGTGCTCACAGGAAAAGAGCCTCTGCTCTGTGCCCTTCTGGAAGTAAAGTGCCTTATACTACTGATTTTCAAGAATAGAGCTAAAGTGGGATGCAGTGGTGCGTGCCTGTAATCCCAGCATTCTGGGAAGCTGAGGCAGGACAATCACCAAATTTGAGTCTAGCCTAGACAACCTGTGGACTTAGCAAGGCCCTGTCTCAAAATAAAAGATAGAAAATGCGCTGTGGATATAGCACAGTTCAAAGGCCCCAGGTTCAACCCCTAGTCGTACAGAAAAAGAAATAGAGATAAATAGCACTGATTTCCAGAAGCCTTACCTTGTGGTGATGTCCCCAGTACATTTAACCTTAAGAGCAAAGTTGACTGTAAGAATAAAGCATGTTTCCCGGTGCTTGGCCCACTCTACAGTTACGTTTCCAGTGGTACCGACTGAAAGGCTGGCTGATTTCTGCCAGCTCCACACCCCACCCCACCCCACCCCAGGCATCTAGATTCCACATCGGAACCAAAAGTATGATTACTAAGTGTGATAAGGAGGGACACGGAAGAAAAAAGAATGGAAGGAAAAAAAGTGGAAACAAAGCTTTCATAAATAAGGAGTGGAAGAGTGGCTGAAGGGAGATGAGGGGAATGGGGAAAAAATAGTTATATCACGTCCAGGTACAAACTCCCTCTGATGAATGACATCATTATGTGTACCTAAAATGTGCCAATAAAAAGAAGAAAAACTAAAATTAAAAAAAAAGGATACAGGAGGTGAACTATCCATGCAACTCAAAACTCATTTTCTTTTTCTCCGTAAAGAACTTCTTGATCTACCATCCTCAACAATTAAGAAGAAGGTTCACTTCAGCCGGGAGAGCAAAGAGAACACAGTGAGGAACGAGAACTCGGAGAGCCAGCTCACTGCTAAGTCCAAGTGCAAGGACCTGAAGAAGAGGCTTCATGCTGCGCAGCTGCGGGCACAGGCGCTGTCGGACCTAGAGAAGAACTACCAGCTCAAGAGCAGGCAGATCCTGGGCATGCGCTAGCCTGGGAGCCGCGGGGGAGCCTGGGAGCCGCGGGGGAGCCTGGGAGCCGCGGGGGCGCCTGGGAGCCGCGGGGGCGCCTGGGAGCCGCGGGGGTGCTTGGGAGCCGCGGGGGAGCCTGGGAGCCGCGGGGGTGCCTGGGATCCGCGGGGGAGCCTGGGAACCGTCGGGTGTGCAGCATCCATTGTTACCACCCTTTAGAGTTGGGTATTAACTGCTGTAGCTTTCCATCGCTGATTGCTGCGTCTCGCCTTTATAGTGAACTTGATGTTTTGGGATTACTTTTGCTGTTTTCAGCAACTGTTGTACCAGATGTCTACCTTTACAACCTTTAAAATTTTTCTTCTTTTAAGAACATTTTATGGAAGGGATAATGCTTTCTAGATGGTTGGGCTGTTACTCCCTAGTGTGGTTACTAGCAGGAGTATGAGATTCAACATTCTAAATGTTGGTGAAAAAATAATGTTAGAGAAGAATATTCACACAGGAGCAGCTCTTCTTGGGAAGTTTTAAATGACTGAGTGGTGTGTTTGCAACCGTCGTGTCTAGCTTTAAAGTCGGAGTCTCGGGTTTTAAATGTTCTTGAACTTCTTTAGGAAACCAGATTGGGTATAAACTGGTCACTAACTCCACGAAGTCTAGTTTGTAAATACTCCAATGCAGTGCAAATCTGTGACCGGGGTGGGAATTCATCACTGTGTTGTCTGTATTCTTTTATTCTTTGTTACTCTGTTTAATGGTGTCTAAGCTGGCTGTCATTTCCCCACCTCTCTCCCACTAAATAAAAGTTTTTCTGTCTCTTGATTTGTGGTGTCTTAATTGGAGGGCCGAGTGTTAGGACTGGAGAGGAAGGTGGGGGTTCTGTCCTTCTGCTCCTCTGTACTAGCACCTTAACCCCCTCACTAACCCGTGGAAGCCAGTGGCCCTGAACTAGGTGGCTTCGCTTCCCAGGGGACATTTGGCAATGTCTGGAGACATTTTTGATAGTCACAGTTTTTTTTTGTTTGTTTTAAATAGGGTCTTGCTGTATAGCTCAGATAGGCCTGTGATCCTCCTGTCTGATCCTCCTGCCTCAGCCCCCTGAGAACTGGGGTTACAGGTGTGCATAGCTTTTTTTTTCGGTCTTTTGAGACAGGGTCTTGCTCTGTAGTCCAGGTTGGATTTGAACTCACTATGTGGCCCACGCTGGCCTTGAACTTGGGCAGTCCTCCTGCCTCAGTCTCCTGAGTGCTAGGATTTTTCATTTTTTTGAGATAGGGTCTCATGTAGTTCAGGTTGGCTTTGAACCTGCAGTGATCCTCCTGCTTCAGCCTCCAGAGTTCTTGAATGCTGGGATTACAGGCCTGTGTCACCGCACCCAATTCAGTGCTAACACTTTCAGTTTAATGAAATATGACCGATTTATTACTGGTGTATAACAAAGGAGAGGAACTTTTGTCCTGCACCTACACAGACTGGTCAGAGCTGGTCATGTAGTTCCCACCAAAGACAAAGAATGATGCTAGCCAAACACAATCAGAAACTGATGACGAGGCCATTAGGGAATGTTGCAGTTTATATCTGATGTTCCCCAAAGCCTCGTGAGCATAGGTGGGGCTTTGGGAGGTGACTGGATCACGGGGGTGAGGTTCTCTGTGCCCGCTGATGAGTGCAGAGCTAAATGTGACGCTGGGAGGTAGAATGGTTGGAAGAGGCCATGGGGGCCGTGGGCTGGAAGGTCTGTCTCCCTCCTCTTGATCTCTCTGCTTCCTGCTGCCATGCCATGAGCTGTTCCCCCTCTGCCTACCCACCCTGCCTTGGAGCCAGCTGACTACAGACTGAAACCTATAAACCGTGAGCCCAAGGAAGCCTCTCCTCCTTTGACTTGTGAATGTCGGGTCTTGTGTCTCAGTGAGGAGAAAGTACCTGAGTGATGGTGTGTCCAGAGATGAATCATAGCAGGACCATTATGATATAAACACTGAGTATAACTCCTGGCCAGCTGTATAAATGGCAAGGCCCCGTCCAAAATGAAAACGGGGGCCTCATGAGTACCATTTAAAGGTACATCTAAGGCATTTTAATTTTCTCTAAGTTCTCTCTGCTTAATGTGGTATTTGCTACTTAATTGTTTTAAGTAAAGAAAAATTACTAGACATGGTGGCACCTGCCTATGTTCCCAGCATTTGGAGGTTGTGGCAAGAGTTTGAGGCCAGCCTGAGCTACGTAGCAACACTGTTTTGAAACACTAAACAAGAAAAGAAGAAAACTTAAATTATTGGCATGAATTTTACCATTCGTCTTTATCTTGAGCAATGTCAGTTTAAGTGCAAATTCCAGAGCACTGAGCTCATGTGTGGAATTGCGCAGTTCATATTTTGTGGCTTGTCCCTGGGAGGGGGTGCCTTGAGCCAGCTAGAAGGGACAAACACACCCAGCCTCAGGCACCTGGGGACCTATGAGGGCTCAGTCACTTCCCCTCCTTTGCTGGTGCTGTGCAATACCAGGCCTGGAGAGGTCCAGCCAGGCATCTTCTCCCCCTGGGGGCCCTGACCCTTAGGCCTCCTGGCAGGACTCTGTCCTGGGTCAGGGTCCTGGGGAACCCCCGCTGGGGCGTAGCCTTCTGTGCTCACCTCACAATGCTGCCCCAATGTGCTCTGCAGCGCAGGGGCCCAGCCCGGAGCTTGCTGAGAAGCAAAACAGGTGTCCAGGGGCTGGAGGAGGCGGGCGAACTCCCTGGCAGAGGTGTCAGGAAGCCGGGCCGTGTCTGAGCTAAGGGTCTACGTGCACAGAGGCCCGGATGACCACCAGGTTTTCCTGCAGAGCGCAAATTCCAGGACCCAGCCATTAAGGAGGAGCAGCCACAGATACCTGCCCCAGGGCTGGCTCTTCTGAGTGCCAGATCCTTTGGGGCTGTGCAGCTGCGCTGGTCCCTCACCCCTCTCACCGGTCTTGTCTTCAGGAAATGCCTTTCCTACCTTAAAAACTGACAAGTAAAACTCGTCTATATATATATTGCTCACAGTGACCCTCTTGCCTTGGCCCCCTCAGTGCTGATATCACAGGTGTGCACCACCACCCTGGCTTTTGTTTCTTTTGGAAATCGGTGGCGTGCTGGATAGCCTCCCTAGCCTTCTCCACCTCAGCCTCCATCTTCATTCAATCAACAAACAATTAAGGAGCACTGACTCCAAGCCAACGCTGTTTAAGGGAGAGACAGAATGAGGAGACAGGCAGGCCCTGCCTCTGTTCTTGCTGGTCCAGATGGGGCGAGACTAGGACAGCTGAGCAAACGAGCAGGGTACATTCGCCGTGAGCTCAGGAACCGAATAAAGCAGGAGTGGGGACAGGGAATAGGGCGTTGCAACTTTAGAAGAGGTGGCGCTTATGGGTGCAGACGAAGGGGGAGGAGCTAACAGGAAGAGGTTGGGGTGGTGGAGAGAGGACAGGTGGGGCAGGGACGGGAGAACAGGGTGCGCGCGTGTGAACTGAGTTAGTTTTTTTTTTTTTTTCCCCGGTACCAGGAATCGAACTCACGACCTTCCGCTTGCCAGGCAAACGCTGTGCCGCTGAGCTAAAACCCCAGCCCCTGGACTGAGTTATTAACCGCACACCACCAACCAGCGCGTGGAGAAAGTCCAGGGCTTCGCCAGCTGTTGACAGACACGAGCCGCCAGGTGGCGCTGTGGTCCCGGGCCCTGGCGTCCCGCCGTCCTGCGGCGCAAGGGTGTCCTGCAGACGCGGGCGGGGCTGGTTGCTGCCTCCTGCCTGTTGCTTCAGCGTCACCGCACGCGTGTGACTCAGTAGCATTCGTGTCGACCTTTTACACGGAGGCCCGGGCGCCGCTGGGTGTGAACTGACAATTTAGGTTCCTGCCCAGAGCTCCGCACCGCCTCCATGGGGTAGGGGCCCAGGCCATTAAAAACTAATTAAAAATAAATAAACAAAATGAAGGAATGGAGAGAATTTACACGCACCAACGAAGAGGGATTCTTCTGGTTGGGAAGACAGAGACCTCCGCGGGTTGGATGGGTTCTCAGCAAGGAGGACATGCAACCGCGCCTGCCAGAGGGGCAGGAGGAGAGCGGGTGGCCCTGGGCCCTGAGGCACAGGCTACGCGACTCACAGGAAGCGGTGACTCCCAGTGACCACCTCCGGGAAGCGGGTCCCGGCTCCCACCTCCCGGCCACCTGCACGCCACGGTGTCCTGGACCCGCGGCGCACCCTCTCGGGAAAGAAACCCGCACAGCACCTGGTTTTACTTACTATACGTATTTATTTCTTTAAAATTTGTCTTATAAATGGATGCACCTCGAGTCCATACCCTTCAGTGAAATAAATTGGACACACGTGTAAACACCGCATTGTTTCTCTGTTGTGAGAAACGGAAAGTGTAAATAAGGCCTCAAATGTGTAATAGTGGGGAGGGGAACAGGGGAGAGCAGAGGGAGAGAGGAAAGAAGGGAGAAGAAAAAAAAAAGAAAAGAAGGAAAACATGGAAACAGCTTTGTAAATGGGGAAGACTGAAAGGGAGGGTAGGGGAGTGGGGAAAAAGAAACAAGTTCTATCACGTACAGGTGCAAATTCTCTATGATGAGTGGGATTGTTATGTGTATCTAAAATGTGCCAATAAAATCTGATTTAAAAATTAAAAATAAATAAATTTGTCTTTTTTAGCTAGATGTGGTGGTG